CGCGCACCGGAGGGGTGAGGTCGAAGCCGGTGTCTGCCATCCCCAGCGGCTCCAGCACGTTCTCGGAGACCCAGCGCTGGTAGTCACCCTGCGCCGTGTGGGCTGCCAGGACGTGCGCCAGAAGCGAGAAGGCCAGCGTGCTGTAATGGCACCTGGAACGGGAGGTGTGGAAACTGGGGTGCGGCCCGTGGTGAACATTTCCAGGCCCAAAGTAGCCCCTTCCGACCTGCTCAGACTGTCTGAAGTGCCACCAGAGTTTCCTAGGACTGGATCGGTCCGGGAAGGCACCTGCTTCACTGCATCCCAGATGGTCAGACCCATCAGGGACTTCAGCGATCACTAATTCTACATCTGGGAAGAGGAGGGCCCAGAGAGGCGCAGGGACTTGTCCAGGGTCACACAGCAGGAAGGAGGAGAGCTGGGCTGGGCAAGTGGTAAAGCAGATCTTATTGGTCCTTTACACTTTAGTATGATTTACTTTAGCAAACAGAAAACTAGAGTCTTAGACTGTTGGGGGGGTGGAATTATAGCGATCATGTGGTTCAAGGATGATAAATGGGGGGCAGGATTTCCCCTCCCTTCTCCCCAGCTATGGCAGACACCAGTAGTCAGTGAGAGGTCTCTCTTTCCCAGAAAAGGTGCAATTTCAAAAAGGCACAGACAGATGAAAATCCACAAATCCTTTTAGACATTCCTGAACTCTAGCCCAACCTCCCTTAATTTTTTATTGATTTGAGAGAGAAGAAGGGGGAGAGTGAGAAAAAGAGAAACATCAATGTGAGTAAGAAACATTGATCGGTTGCCTTCCAGATACATCCTGACAGGGACTGAACAACCTGGGTGTGTGCCCTGACCGGGGATCGAACCGGCCACCTCTTGGTGTACAGGACAACCTCCAACTGAGCTACACGGGCTGGGGCCCGTCTTCCCTTTTCTACAGATGCGGAAGATGGGTTCCAAGAGGCTGAGTGCCTCCTCCGAGGCCTCATGGCAAGTTAGTGGCACAGTTGAAAGGAGGACTCCGGCGTGCAGATGCCTGAGCATCACCTGGGTCCTTTCTTCCTCAGGGAGGTGGGGCCTGAGTTCAGCATTCGGAGAAGCAGACAGGGCATCTTTTTCCAAAAAAGGCCAACAGGCCCGGAAGGGTGCCTCTGAGGCCGGGGAGTGCCAGCTGTCCTCTGTCCAGCCCCTCGCTCCCAGAGCTGGGCTTCTCTGTTCAGTGGCCACCCCAGCTATCCACTCCCATCAGCATCCCATTTATTTCCATGACGGCACTTGACAAAATCTCCGTTTATCTTGTTTATCTGTTCACTGATAAGAATGCTCACAGCTGACTCACAAGAATGGAAACTCCATGAGGAGGGACCTAGTTACTAGTAAATTTGTTTGCTTCTGTATCTCAGTTTAGCACATTCCGGGCACAGAGTAGGTGCTCAATAAATGTTGAGTTGATGAGTGGAAAGAACTCAAGGTTCAAACAGCACCTGCCTTGCTGTGACACCCCTCTCTGGGCCTCAGTCTTTCCTGCTGTGGAATAGGGGTTGTATTTAGGGACCCCGAGGTCTCGTCAGGCTCTGATCACCCAGGACGAGAGGATGCAGTCTCTCTCTGGGAGGAGGAGGGGGGGGGGGTCCTGAGGAGGTTCCTAACTTTGGCAGAGCATCAAGGCGCATCCTCACCTGGTTCCCGGGTCCGCCACCAGCACATCATCCTTGAGCAGGCTCAGGGCCTCCTGGGTGCTGCCCCTCCACAGCAGCGAAGTGGATCGCAGCCTTCGGGGCAGCCCTGGGGAGGAGCAGTGGTCAGACCTGCTGGGCTAGCTGAGGGTGGATGGGGGGTCATTGGGTGCACTGCCCCCCTCCCCACCTTCCCACAATATCGCCTGAAAAACAAAAATAGTCCAGCATGGACTCTAATCCTGCTTGTGTTTTAGTGGGAAAGCCACTTAACCTCTCAAGCCCCAGTCCCCTCACCTGTAATGTGAGGGAAATAATTCCTCTATCATAGGGATGATGTGAGGATTAGGTAAAATAAAATGCTTAGCATGGTGCCTGGTCATAGTAACTGCTCAAAAAGTAGTTATCATCAACTATAGCAGTGTGATTCCATAAAATTCTTGAGATCAGTGGCCAAACAGCTTTGAACTTTTCTAACCATTTGGACTTTTCTGTTTATTAGCTGTGACAACTATTGGAAGAATCACAGGGTTTAGGTTCTCTCCATCCATCCATTCAATAATGGATTTCCAGCTTCTGTTTTGTGCCAACAACTGTTCTGGGTCCTGGAGATTCAGTAATGACCAAAGTCCCTGCCTATGTGGAGTTAGTGGAGGGGCCAGACAACAAGCAAATACATATTCATGCTACAGAGAAAAAATAATTTGGTCAGACGAAGGCCTTGCAGAGGTGATCCTTGAGCAGATGAGACCTGGAGAAGGTGAGAGAGAGCCATTCTTTTCCGTAAGAATGTCTTGGGCAGAGGGAACAGCAAGTGCAAAGGCCCTGTGGCAGGAATGTCTTGGAATGTTTGCGGAATAGCATGGCCCAGCCAGTGTGGCTGGAGAGGAGTGAGAATGGGGAGACTTTGGCCAATTCAGGAAACAGCAGAGAGTGGGCTCGGCCTGACTGGATGAGAATCCGCTCCTCAGTTCCCCCCACCTGAATTATTTGGGGCTAAGCCAGGGAAGTTCAAAACCGTTCACCTGAGAGCTGGCTGGCCATCCTTCGGAGGGTGACGGGCGAAGGCCTTGGGGCTGGGCCCACCTCCTCCAGCCCATCCATCAGGCTCTGTTGTTTGGGGGCTGGTGCCATGCCCAGCGGGTTGTTAATAGTGAAGGAGCTGGCATACCGCTCCAGAGGGTCATCTAGGGAGGCTACGATACCCTCCTCCCACAGGCGGTACAGCATGAGGACTGGAAAGATCTTGGAGACACTGGAGATCCTAGACAATGTTGGGGACACAAGGGTGCAGAGAGCATACTGTTGGCTTTACAACCCATCTCTACCCTGCACCCCAGCCTCCAACTTTCTAGTATTCTAGGAAAGCACTGAATCCGCTTTATTTAATGTCTCAGATGGAAATCCACCAGCCTCTGTAGAGCTGGCTTGGGGATGCTTGAGATTATACCAGAGGCCGTGGGGCTGGGCTGGACGGACGGACATTCCTGAGTATCTTCCCCCAGGCCCTTCCCACTGTGGACAGACCTGGTTGGGCCATACCTCTGCCTCTCACTGGCTAAGTGGTCTTGGGCAAGTACTAGACTTTCTGAGATTCGGCTTCCTTGTCCGTTTCACAGGTTGTAGAGAGGATTGAACAAGAACATGCTGGTAAAGTGTTTGGCAAGATACCCAGCAGGTAGTAAGTGCTCAATAAGTGACAAAAAGTGTAATTGTTGTCCCCATACTTGGCCCATAGCAGGTGCAGTGTGAATGGAACTCCTCCAATCCTTACAGTATCTCTGGGAGCAGAGGTGTTCACTTTGCATTGTAAGCTTGAAGGATCCTGCAGGCAGCGCCGTGGAGGGGATGTGTGCAGCAGAATGTCCCCAGGGACTCCCATCTGGGCCACTGCTGCCGATTGACGGGGACCTGGGCCAAGAGCCCAGGGCCTGGTTATGGTTCCGTTGTTGGCACATGGACGTGAGGGAGGGATGGGACACAAGGGAGCCTCTTGGAGTTAGGGAGTTTGGGGCTAAGGGCTCTCCAGAGGCAATTCCTTCCTGACCTGTTACCTCTGTGGTGTGGAGTTGGGCACTCACTGGTCCTCTCTGGACCTCAGCCTCCTCATCTATAAAACTGTCAAGACTTAATAAAGGGCTTGGAAACCCCAGTCATCATTCTCTTGAGTTTCCCTACCTCCTAGGTCCCCCCTGTTCTCCCATCCCTCATCCCTCCCCAGGACCCTGCAGGTCACCCGGCTGACCGGTACATGGTGTACTCATTGGGGGGGCCAGAAGCTGGGTCCGAGCCATTCTTCTTCCCGAAGTTCCCAGTCCAGAGCACGGTGTCATTGTGGATGACAACTGCAGACATGGCCGCCAGCCCTGGGGCAGACAGTGCCTGGCGCAGGATCCTCTCCACCTTGCAGGAGAAGAGCAGGAGGCTCAGAATGTGGGTGCAGAGACACACCCCACTTGTCATCTGCACACCCTGCCCGTGCCCACACCACAGGTCACCTTTCCTGGCTCCC